CACCTAAACAGCAGCTCTTATAAATACAAACTATACAGTTTCATATTTCTTTAACAAATTTATTTTTATCATTCTAGTTTAAGACTTCTGCTGCTTTCTGCAAATTGAAGCTATTTTCTGCCATTTTAGCTACTTTGTAGCTATTTTTAGATGATTTTAGCTTTTTCATCTGAATTCACCTTGGTGTGATCATTTTAGCTTCTTACTGATTAATTCAGCAAACACAATCTTTGTTTTTGTGCTAATTTCAGTTTTCATTTAGTTTTAGTTAAAAATATTTTTCTGCTAATTTAAGCTGCTTCAGCTATTTTGCAACACATTACTTTTTTGAACTTTTTTCTTGTTTTAGTTTGATGAAAAATGTTTCTAAATTATTGATGAACCATTGATAATTCAAAATTATTTTTCTCTTTCATTTAAAAAAATATTAAAATGTCAGTCAACAGCAAGCATCTTAAACATAAAAAGAATACCTTTCAAAAACATCTTTGTTCACAGGGGCGCAGATAGATTCCTCACAAAGCGATAAGCTTGACTCTCGGCGAAAAAGAGCCGTGGTGACGTGGTTATTGGGCGGAGGAACGATGAACTTCTCGAGGGCTGAAAAATCACACAGGAAGAGTGCCTGGAGTACGTCGCGGTAAATCCACCCTAAGCCCGTCCCGTTGTTTGCCTCTGCTGCCGTGGCCAGCATGCGTTCAACGTGCCACAAAGGCTCAAACAAATAGAACATGTTCTCTCCGTGCTGGTTAAAGAACTCCCCCACAAAGGACGATCCTGTTCGGGTGGTAGCCATGAGGAGTACGTGCTTACGGCCACCGTTGTAGCTGTACATGTTTACATCATCCAGTTCTTCTTGCTCTGCAGAGAAGTTTGTGTGAGTCCCCGCAGGCCATTTAGAGAGCAGCAAGTCATTTTGTGTCATGTTGCTCTCCTCTTGAGGAGTCTGTGGAGTCTGCTGTGGACTCTGATGCTTATTCATCTTATCAGAAACCCTGCAGAAATACAGAAAGTTAGTCAAGATGTATCACATATGCAAAACATGGTGGCAGTTTTAAATGCAGTGGTGACCTATCATAGCCAGCAAAACCTTCTGCTGGCGTAAACACAATAGCTAACATTCGGTAAATTTTTTATTATTATTATTATTATTATTATTATTATTATTATTATTATTATTA